GCTTTGTTATGTTAAAGCAAAGAAAGGACAAAGAAGGCAGAGTTATTTGTACTGAAGCCTTAATTAACGGAGTTAAAACAATATTATGCAATATATGCTCTCCCAATAAGGGAGACCCTGGTTATTCCATGAGATCAATACACTGGTGGGAGATGTGGAAGGCCAGGTTATTTTGGCAGGAGATTTTAATCAAGTGATGGATGGGATGATTGATAAGAGCAGGTCTAGTAGTAAACATATAACTTGGGATAGGACCGCAATACATGTGTTAGCGGAGGACCTGAGTCTGGTGGATGTATGGCGGTTAGTGAATCCATGTGAGAGGGAATACTGTACACATTCTACTCTCATTGTCACAAGTCACACTCAAGGATTGATTTTTTCCTAATATCAAACACCCTAATAGACTCAGTGGTGGACTGTAAGATAGGAGCCATTGCTCTTAGTGATCATGGTGCAGTGGAGCAACACATAGACTTACAGACGGACAGAGAGAGAAAGGGCAGGTGGAGGCTAAATACCAGGCTATTGCAAGATGAGGTGTTTAGCAGCATATTATTAGAGGTTAGTCAAATTCTTTTTTGAATACTGGATCCAAAAATATTCTCTGTTTGGGATGCATCAAAAGCGTACATACGAGGGAAAATTATAGCTCAATCCTCAAAAATTAAGAAAGAGAACGCCATGAAAGTGACAAAGTTAGAAAAGGAGATGTGCAACTTGGAAAAAGATTTTGCAACACATAACACTGACAAGCTACACCAAACTATCTGTGATCGTAAATATCAGTTACACGAGATACAGTGGTACCTCAGAACTCAAAATTAATCTGTTCAGAACTGCGGACGGAATCCTAAAAAGTTTGAGTTCTGATTGAATTTTCCCCATAAGAAATAATGGAAAACCAATTAATTGGTTCCCGAACCCAATAAAATTACACAAAAATATGTTTTTTTTCAGCATTAAAACACAAAATGAACCGGACAAAACAAGAAAAGCATATACTGTACTAAAGACATCTAAGCACATTTATCAAAACAGTCAATTTTAAAGTAAGAAAATAAATGTATCCAAACAATGTGTAAAGTAAAAAAAAAAAAAAAATGTGTCCTGCCCCGATGCATCCGCTCCGTCCAATGTGTCACGCCCCCTCATTAACCCCGTGTAGAATCCCCGTGTGATCAGCTGTTTCTGGTTGTTGTCATTAGTCCTCTGTATTTTGTCCGCGTTTCAGTTTGTTTTCCCAGTCCGGTCATTGTATTGTCCGTCTGCGTTTTGCCTGCCTTACCTGTAATTAAACCCCATATTCCCCGATATCCTGACGTCTGCGCCTTTGTCTCCGTTCCGTCCCGCTGGGCACGACAATATTATTATAATTAAATGCATTAATGGTTTATTATTAATAGTAAAATAATTAATAATAAATCTTTATTTTTAAATGTATTTTATTTTATTATAATAATTACTGTTACTATCATTGTCTAAATGTATTTTTACTGTCTGAATATATGTATTCAGTTAGTGTAAACATGTACGATGCTATCACAGCGATTGCAAGGCTGAGACTGAAGCGTTACCCTTTGTTTCCGCTGAGAGACGTGCCGCATGAAAGAAGTGGCAGATTATTAGCCATGCAACTGAAACATCAGGATATTTCTAACAATATTCCAATGATTAAGATGGGAAGTAGGGTGACTACAACATCAAAAGAAATCAATAAGGTATTTGAAAATTTCTACAATGATCTGTATACATCTGACTGCACACCTACCACAGAAGAGCTAGAGAAGTTTTTCTCAAACCTCCAACTACCCACTATCTCAGAGGAGCAAAGAACAAGGCTGGATGCTCCTATAACAGAGGACGAGATAAGAAACACAATTCTATCCATGTAAAACGGGGAGTCACCTGGGCTGGAGGGCTTCCTGATTGAATATTATAAAAAACATATCAACATATTGACTCCCATTTTACATAAGGTATATTTGGAAGCATTCACAATAGGTTCTTTATCTAACACATTCAATGATGCCTTAATTACTCTTATCCCTGAAAAAGATAGAGACACATCACACCCATCTAACTTTAGACCTGTAAGCCTGCTGAGGGTTAGACTGTAAAATACTAACAAAGACACTGGCGTCGCGGTTGGAGAAGGTGCTACCAGACATCATAAATGGTGACCAAGTGGGTTTTATCAAACATCGGTCATCAGTTGACAATATGTGGAGACTTATACATCTTATACATACAAATCGCAGAGATCCTATACCAGTTGCGGCCCTCTCCCTGGATGCTGAGAAGGACTTTCACGGTGTAGAATGGGGTTTCCTCATGACAACCCTTTCTAAATTTGCGTTTGGGCCTGGTTTTTGCCACTGGGTAAAAGTGCTCTATACCAGCAGCTGTTCTAACAAATGGGGTGAGCTCTAATTTTTTGGCTTGTCAAGGGGAACAAGACAGGGATGCTCCCTCTCTCCCCTACTGTTCACGATAGCTCTAGAACCATTAGCTCTAACAGTTATAACAGAGACGAGAATTAAAGGTGTGCATGCAGGTGGTAGAGAACATAAGTTATTTATGTATGCGGACGATATCTTAGCCATAGTAGCAGACCCAGTTAACTCATTACCAGTGTTACTGGAATGTATTCTAATCTATCAGGCTACAAAATAAACTGGCATAAGTCAGAAGCCATGCCAGTATCGAATACATGTCACTTGAGTGACATTATTTAATTTCAAATGGCTTCCATCAAACATGAAATATCTGGGGATTCAATTAACTCCAAACTTGGAAGAAATTATGCTCTGGAACACAGAACCACTCCTACATAAGATAAAAATAAATCTGGAAAAGTGGGGAAGATTAAAGTTCACTTTTTGGGGGGAAGTTAACGTGTTAAAAATGGTGATTGCCCCACAATTCAGTTATGTTTCTGTGATGCTACCTATTGATTCACCGATATTGCTTAAGAATTTTGACAATACCATTAAGACTTTTATTTGGGAAAAGACCAAGAATTAATACCAAGAAAATTAGGCAGGTAGGAGGCTCAGGCCTCTCTATTGTTAGGCTGTATAACCTTGCATTTGAAATGGGCAGATTGAGTGAGCATTGGAGAGGTGCAAACACAGAGGTAAGCTGGATAATAACATTTATAGTGCAAGCTATGAAATGCGCCCCCCTGTGGAGTGTAACAGAAAGAGCACTAAGAGGTAACAGTGTTACAGCCACTAGCATGCATGTCTCTCTGGGTCTATAGACCATAACATAAAGTAAACTGGACTCCTAGCTAGGGCTGGCTCAGTGGGCAGCACTGTAATATGTGTAGCTTAATAAAAAGACCTCGCCATCTTCTTTCTTCTCCTTTTTCTTCCACAATCAGCCAGTTATTTTATACTAGAGGCAAGCAACAGATCATCCCTCCTATGCAAAATGGCCACATAGCAAAAAATAAACAAGCAAACAAATATATAAACAGGAAAAAAACTATCAAAGACCCGTCTAATGATGTAGCTTTTAACAATGATACTAAACCTTTCCTACAATAATGTAAATTATACGTGAGACAATTTATTTCACACTAAAGTTAAATGTAAACTAGCCTGTTTACATGAAGAGCTTCACAGCATATCAAAGTACATGAAGGCAGAGCAGAAGCTAAACAGCAGTGTGATGCCGTCCCCATTGTATGAATTATATTTATACCATGAGGGTTTGTTTCCTCTCACTGCCCACAGTGTCCTGATGGAGAGAGCAGACTCCCCTGTACCCAGCTGTGTTTCCCTGAAGAGTGACAGGTCAATGGTTCCGCCACTCGCCTTCAGTGAGGGACCTTTTCCTACAGATCAAAGGTAAATGTGCATTTAAACAAACGCTGTTTAAAACACTCAGGCTCTCAGTCAAATGGCAGAGACACATACAAGGTATGATGGAAACCATATTTAACATATGTAGCAGTTTTTGAGAATTTAAACAGATGTTCTGTCTGTATTCTGTCTGTGTTCTACACTGTCCAGCCAAAAAAAGTCGCCATTTGAATTTAAATCAGCAAATACTTAAAAGCCAATGACTGTATCAGTTTTATAGCTCAGCAATGTTATGCAGCAATAAAGTGAAGTCAGATGAGAGCCTGAATCTACTGACTGGCCAGGTTATCACATCAATGGACTTTTTATTTTTATTTTTTCAAATATAGTTGCCGCTTGAGATAAAAGATGCATCACAATTCATTACTGATGAACAAACATTCGTGTTTAACTTGTTATTCATGACTTGTTCCTTCAGTAGTTCACAAAGGTTTATAGAATTAACAGATATAGTAACAAATATAGTAACTGCTTGGGATAAAAGATGTCACGATTCATTAATGATGAATTAACATGTGATAAGTATGTAACTAAGACTTAGTCCGTGGTTAATTAATACATAAGTAATACTGTATTTGTGCCCTTTCAAGTAAAGTCTTACCATTTAACCTGATGTATTTTTAGTTAAATCTGCCTACTTTTTGGAAATGAAGTATAAAGTGTTTTAAATTTATTAAGCTGAAGTCTACCTACTTTCACAGAACCAGCCTACAGGATTTACTCAGATTAATTAAGGCAGCATTTTTGCACTCACTTTGTTAGTAAATTTATCATTTTTATGAGTAAAGTAAATCTTAGTTTAGTAAATAATATGTCCAGTGCCAATTAAGATAAAGGGTCTTGTTCAGCATCTGATGCAAAGTGGTACCAGGCATGATGCATGTGTCTCTGCCAGCATGAGCCTGATGCTGCTTCCTGTCCAGCTGGGAGTTAAGGGCTTTGCTCAAGGACCCAAAGACATGTGACTGTTCTGCTGAGGCTGGGCATAAACCGGCGACCTTCTGATCACAGGCCCAGAGGCCTTACTCTGCTGAGGCTGGGTGTAAACCGGCGACCTTCTGATCACAGGCCCAGAGGCTTACTCTGCTGAGGCTGGGCATAACCGGCGACCTTCTGATCACAGGCCCAGATGCTTACTCTGCTGAGGCTGGGTGTAAACCGGTGACCTTCTGATCACAGGCCCAGAGGCTTACTCTGCTGAGCTACATGCTGCCCCCCCCCTCAAAACACCCACTATCGCCTCTGGCTGGCTCTCTGGGGCCATTTGGCAGGGACAATGTACTGTAAAGCACTTTGAGGCAATATAATATTGTGAAAATGCACTACATAAATAAATTTGCATTGGATTGAATTAGATTAACTTTTCTGCCTTATTCACAGAGACCAAATTGAAGAATGCAGTTCAGATCTACATGATAAATCAGGTTTACCATCCATATTGAAGGTCTATATTTATTACTGATATGTTTTCTTAGCTGTTATGTGAATTAGCATGTGAATTTTATACAGCTGAATAATAAGAAATTCATCCTGTTAAAGGAAATATTTTTTAAACTATGATTTACAAAAGCAACTCTGGAAAGGTTTGATGGAAGTAGCAATAATTAACTGTGACTGTTTATTTTAGTCACTAGAGGAAAAATCTGTAAAGTTCCTAAAGGATGAGCTGAAGAAGTTTGTGAGGTGCCTAGATCAGAATTACCCAGAATGCCCTGAGCCTCAGCTGGAGGAGGACAATGACCTGGACAGTGATGGTCAGATGCAGAAGACCTGTGGTAGAGAGGGAGCTCTGAAGATCACGCTGTACATCCTGAGGACCATGAAGCAAAATGATCTCGCTGACTTGCTGGAGAAGAGTAAGAGCCTCATAACATTCTGTACATGTACACTACTGTGCTAAAGTCTTAGGCAGCCAGAAAAACTTTCCAATAGTCTCCCCAGTATTTGCAGAAATCATGTATTTTTTTGACTTGACCACTAGCACACGTTATGTGGCTAATCAATACTGTATCTCTTTGACATTTTTTGCTAATTTAATTAGTGAATGAAGTGAGCTGGTGGTGGAATGTAAGGAACACATGGACTGGCTGTGGTGCCCTGAGGAGGTTTGGGAGCTGAAGTGATGCTTTAGGGTTTTTTTCCAGAGCAACTTACTTCCCAGATAAATGGCTTTAAACTAGTGGTGTCAATTAATAAAAAAATCCAGTTAATCACAATAATAAACTGTGATTAATTATGATTAATCACACATTTAAAATGGTGGTCGGCTATTTGCTAGTATTTTTTGGAAGATGAAACAGATACATGTGTGGTCTTGGAACAAAGAAATGCAGGACAAACTGGTCAAAGGAATCACAGGTTTTTTATATAACATCTTAATTTACATCTATAAATTACCCACAGTTTGTGTGCCTTACTGTCCGCCATCTGACCTCGCTGTGTTTCCGTCATATGGTGCTTTGGTGCTTGTTGACTCAGACATTCTCAAGGAGAGTTTACATTGAAAGAAAACCGTATCTTTTCTATTTTGTCCAAAAGAATTAAAGTAGTGAATGTGTCTTTCTTTAAATACAAATATATACTTACAAAAATCTCAAATGCTTAATGTTTTAAGGACTTAATAACAGGACATTGTTTTCCCCTTCAGAAGAGTCTCCTCGTCTTTCGCTGCCACTGCTCGGTCTGCCAAGAACCACGATACGAGACCTCTGACCCTGGATCAGCGTACATGATTAATTTACATTAAAAACAAAATAGAGCATTAAGGTTTCCTGATTAATCACATGCATTAATGCGTTAATGTTGACAGCATTGCTTTAAACATTTTTTTGTCTGCCTAAGACTGATGCACAATATTGTATGTGGTGTTACAGGAATATTTGTATGGTAAGACTTTCCGTTTCACATTTGTTATAGTGAAATATCTGGACTTGTATGTGTAAAAAAGTGTGTTTTTGGAAAATATTCTTCCTCTCATACTGATCAGAATCACAGTAAGAATTGATACATTTTCCTGTCATTCCTTTTCAGGACAGCTCATGCTGCAATATCTGCACAGAATCAAAAGTAACCTGAAGCAGAAATATGAGTGTGTATTTGAAGGGAAAGCTAAGGAAGGACAGCCAACACTTCTCAGTGATATTTACACAGAAGTCTACATAACTGAAGGTGGGACTGGAGGAGTCAATGATGAACATGAAGTGAGACAGATTGAAACAGCATCCAAGAAAAGGCGAACAGAAGATACTACAGTCAAGTGC